CCAGAGCCTGCTGAGCGGAGGAAGTAGACAGGCTGGTAGGGGTTACGAGGTCGGAGAGGTAGGGGAGCTTTGAAGGTGAGGACCTGGACCTTGAGCTGTATCTTCTGCGTGATGGGAAGCCAGTGGAGTCGGGCGAGGATGGAGCCTGGTTCAGGTGAGGACAATTGCTGCAGAGTTCTGGATGATCTGTCGCCTATGGAGGGAGGAATTAGGGAGGCCGACAAGCAGGGAGTTTGCATAGAAATGGATGGAAAAGTGATCAGCCAATCGACTAACAACCGGTTCCTACTTACTGCTAGATAAACAGAGGCATGAGGAGGAAGGAAACTTGTCTAATGTTTTGCTTGCGAGGCGAGTGCTCTAAATAATATGTTACGGGACTCCATATAGATTCCATATATATCCACTGAATAGATTCAATGTCAACTTGGCAAAAAATCTGTAATTGGAGACAGACGCAAATTACACGTGCTTTTGTTGGCTCTTTCCCCTCTGGCAAATGTCAATAGCAGGAACGAGCAAATGGAGTAATCAAATTAGATCACTAATTTAGCTGATTATTAATCACAAGAAACATTCATTGCAGGTTGTCTCAAAGGAAAATGAATTAAATTAGAGAAACAAAAGTATGCCTCCATTTTATTGCATCTCTTCTTCTCTTTAATTAAAATAGCTGTGAATTTTACAGCTACAGACTGGTGTCAAGAGACGGATAAGCAAGAATGCCCGCACTCAGTTATCACCAGGTAATCACGAGTCTCACATGCACTTGTAATGTACAATGTGCATAGTTACTGGCTATGCAGAAATATTTACAATTGTTGATAACATTCAGTGCTATTATTGCACACAGATTTTGTCAGCAATGGCCCACAGTATAAACATCTTAAAAGATGGACAGCCTTGGATGCCTTGGATTGCTAACTTGGTCAAAAAAAACCTGTCCTGTAGAGCAAAACTGTACCACGCAGATGTCAGGAGAGTAATTAGTCTCAAAACTCTTGAGTTAGGGAAAGGGGAGGAAAAAAAAGCCAGAATTTCTGCTCCACAATGTTATTCCTGCAGGGTAAACGCAAAGACAGGCTCGGCAACAAATGCTCTAATAACCTGCTGACCATCTAAACAGGATTACATACAAAGAATGGACTCTTGAGTGTAGTGGTGTGGGGTGTTTCGTGTCCATGAAGCCAGATGAGTCAGTGCCTCAAGAAAAGGAAAGGGGAAATTGACACTACTGTGGATGTGAATTCAGCATGAAAGCCACATGATTTTCAATGATGGTCTTAGTGACTGGGTCAGCTATAAAATAACTTGAAGGTCATCATTATTAATTGGAGAAGAAGTTTCTCTCAGTGTGCCCTGCCAACGATCCTCCAAATAAAATAGGTCATTCGTTTCATGGCTGTTTGTGGGACATTGCTGTGTTCAAATTGGCTACGCGCAAACAAATGCACAGTCACTCAAATTCACAGTAAACCATGTGAAGCACTTTGAGACATTCTCCCAACAGGAAAGGTGTTATACCAAATGCAAGGATTGACTATTAGATTTACCATCCAAGAAAGTGTCTATACACTTGTGAGTGCACAAACACTTTCTTGGATGATAAATCCAAGTGAATAATCTATTTCCCTGTGAATAATCTATTTTTCTACCCAAATTTCACCACCTGAGCAAGATTATGGTCATCACATATGGTTAACACCTTGTCAGGGAGGATAAATGGGGAGGGCGAGTCAGATAGGTCGAAGGGACTTCTTCAAGCAAGCCTTTCTAGTGATCATGAAATCTGCTGATGAGCAGCCTAACCACAACCATGATAGAGAAAGCACAAGATTCTCAATGAATACAATATTTATAAAGCCCTGCATCCCAGCACTTATAATTTCAGGACTCTTGCATTATTCAGTCAATAGTCAGTGCACAAGTTGTAAACAGATCATATTAAGTAGAACCCAATGACCTCTCTAGCCTTCCCCTATTTCTCTTTCTTTCTATGCCTCCCAGTCTCTTTCCCTCCACATCTCTTCCCCTCCACGTAATAAGAATAATAATCATACTTGCATTTGATATAGCGCTTTTTAAACCTCTTCGAGACGTCTCAAAGCGCTTCACAGAATATACTTTAAAGTGAATTGACTATATATTTTGTGGGCGAAACGTGACAGACAATTGCGCACAGCAGCGTCCCAAAAACAGTCGTGGAATGAGTGACCAAATTATTTCTTTATTCATTTTGAAAGGATTATTATCCGTGGAAAGTGATCCACCAATCGACTGACCACCGGGTTCCTACTTACTGCTATGTAAACAGAGACGTATGGAGTAAGAAAACAAGCCCAAAGTTTTGCCCTGCCAGGAATCGAACCCAGGTCCTCTCGTTTGTGAGACAATTGCTCTAACCATTAAGTTACAGGACTTTACATCTCTCCATCCAATTCTTCCCCACCCCAACCCCCACTTTCACTGCCACAATGAGTTGTGTTATTTTACTGCATCTTAGCTTCCGTCCGATATGCTCTGCTCGCTACCTGCACTATTTAACCCTTGAGAATTATCCCTCATTAAAAGTAAATCAGAGTCAATTGGACCATCAGTTCCAGTTTACAAACCAATTACCACACTGGAGATGCAATGAATCTTACAATATAAGAATCACTGCTCCAATTCTCGCAAAACACGGCTCCAAATTAAGAAGCACAACAACAGCGTTCATTTGCAATTTAAATCATTTTTCTTTTTATAAAGAACGAATAATGTGCATAGCTAAAACGAGTTTGTCGTCTGGAATCATTTCATGTAATTTCAAGACTCCTAGCTGAATCCTCCAGCATAATTAAAAAGGATCATAAATATACAGAACAGGTGTCAAATGATTTGTGGTGTATCGTTGAAATTCAACACGGCTGCATTTAATTAATATGCCTCGGAAAGACTAAATCTTTGTGGAAAGCATTGCATATATGCTTAATTACTACAAACCATCGTTTCGGCCCGTACAGAAGAATACCAAGCCAACCCAGGTGATTATTTATTCGCATTATGAAGCATCCAGTGAACTAATGTGGACTCGTGATTCACACACTGTAACTCAGACAGAGCTACAAACATTTCTTGGGTTCACTTTCATCAGATATGTGCAGACCACCCCTTCTCCCCTCACCCCGATGTCAGTTTCATCTACTGAGAACTCACAGACACAGATTTTTCACTCGCCAGTTCCAGAGAACATCATTCCCTCCCCTGAGGAATACACCTCAGCAGGGGAACGCAGTAATGGTATGAGGGTTCCAAACTATAACATCCAGAATGAGAAACGTCTGAAGGGAACGTTGGATCTACAGAATATTATGAATCCTGTTTAATTCACACCAGACTGTTACGTGCAAATTCTGTCTCTGTCAGCAACCACACGCCACGCCTGGCACTTCCCTAACCTAGGCCACAGCCTTCTATTTGAATGCAATATTGATTTCAACGCAATATTGTGCGCTCGTCCCCACAACAATCCTTGTATCTGATATACCATTGTATCACATCGCTGAGATGTCTCTCAGGACTTCACAAGATTTTACCGCGCAATGTGTAGTGATTGTGTATTTGTAAGCAAACGCGGCAGCCAATTTGCGCCCAGAAATGTCCCCCCCCAAAGCCATGAAGCAAATGACCAATTTTATCTCAGAGACTATCAGCCAGGACACTGAGAAATTCCTTTCTCTTTTCGAATAGCGCTGTGAGATCTTGAACAGCCACATAAACAGTTTATTATCTCATCTGAAAGACGGCATCTCCAACAATACAGTACAACCCCCAGCTCTGTACTGATGTGTCAGCCTAGACTGTAAGTTCAAAGTCTTGATGTGGGGTTTTAACCCATATCCTGTGAATCAGAACGAGAGTGAGCTCGGCTGACGCCCAGGTGTATGGGGTTGCCTATTTTGTATCCTTTGTATCAGCAAGTAGGTCTCATTAACATATTATATTAATATGTTTAGCTCACAAAAATAAGCGATAGTTGGTTGCTAAAGACAGGGGAATTCGGTACATGATTTATAATGAAACTTCTCTCTCCAATTAACCTAATTTGCACATGCAAGTTAAAGCAATTAGCATATTTCATTAATATATTATTCCTCCCTGAAAAATTATCATACGCTGCAAATCTCTCAAGATTATGCTATTTTGAAGTTATGGAGAGGAACTATTTTCGTAATTATCATAATTTGTGTACAAATTGAAATCTAATAGTACCATTCATTAATGTATCATGATTGGCATAACGCATGAAAACTTCACCTTTTGAACTTTTTTGAACGATTTAGAAAGGCATTGGATCCGCTGACAGTGAGATTCCAAATGTAGCATTCGCACCCTGTGAAAGTATCCCCCAGATCAGTTGATCATTCATGTCACGGCAGTGTACCAGACTTTGCTGTACACAAAAATGGCTGCTGTGTTTACTTGCAAATATGTTCATTAAAATTGATAGCAATTACTTGTGAAACGCTTTGGGACATTCTGACGTTCTACGATGCTTTTAAATTGCAAATTCTACTAAATATATGTCTGATAAATATTTATCCAGAGAGAGAACTTGCATTTTATTTGCCTAATGTCTCAAAGAGCTTTCAGCAATAATAAAGTGCAAGTGTGGGTAAGTTCAACTTGGCGCGCAGCAAGTTTCCACAATCGGCCATGAGATGAAAGCCCAATTAATCTGGAGGATTGTGTACAGGACACCGAGAGAATCTCCCTGCACTTTTCAAATAGTTTCTGGGACCTTTCGCACATCCATCTGAGGACAGGCAGACACGATCTGAGTTGAACATCTCATCAGAAAGACAACACACCGCTCCTTCCGGAATTGCACTTGAGGGTCAGTCTCGACAATGAGTTTCAGTCTTGATGTGGAGATTTAGGTGGGTCTGGACTGAACAATCTCCTTGTACCTATTTATTGGAGCAAATACAAGAGGAAAATGGAAAGTTGAACAAACATACCCGTGAAGTTTTCTCCCTCTGTAACGTTAGTTCATGCTGTTCAGCAATGGCCAGGGCTGCGGAGTGCACTTTCTGGTAGATTGCCTCACCTTCTCTTGTCTGGAAGGTGAATAATCCTTCTCCTGTCTCGCACATTCTGCCAAGGTACAGAAAGGAACAGTGAGTGTGCGACGCAGTCCAAGTTAAAAAGGCAGACATTTCTGACACCTCTGCAGATGCCAGAGGTGTTGCATTTCATTTTCACTGTCAGCCATTGACGCTCAACGCTTCAAACGTGAAAAATGTGGAGAAGGTGGATAAGAATTGCAGCCAAAATAAATACAGAATGGAACCAGACAAGAAGGTCTTCTCTAGTAATGAAACTTCCAGTGCTGAAGTAGCCAGATCTGTTGGCACGGGACATTGCAAAGCATATTTAGTTGTTCCTTGATGTGACAAACGTAAATCATTTAATTAAGAAATACCACTGAAATTTGTTTTCATCTTTGCCATGTTGTTGCACTGTTTCGCTGTTGATGCTTTTATTATCTGACACGTGAGAAAACCATCGCAACATTTAAAGCCAGTGAACTGCATACAAACCAGACCAGTGAGAGTTGCACGTATGACTCCATCGTGGAGTCCCTTTGAGTTGATAGTTAAACTTAAACGGCATTAATTTGCTAACCTGAACTTTCAGTGGCCCTCAAAGATGCGAAGGTACATGTTGACACTAATCAAGCCCACTATCGTAGGATCTGTCGCCAAAACTTGCAGGAGTAACAAATACCATGCAGATTTGTTTTTAAAAAAATCTATGCTCTAAAGATAGGTTAGATTATTTTATCCTTTAGATTATTGGCTGTTGGGATTGGCCTCACTTGCTTTACCATCCTTACAGGTTTGAGTAATGGTTAATTATCAGAGGAACAATCGGAGCTATTACAGACCATGTCTCAGAGATTCTAAATTCAAAAGCTCCAACAACTAATCTCCTGAGACAAAATAAACATTGTTAGTAGAAATTATGTCTAAGCAGGAGACAACAGTTCACTAGTGCCTATGTCAAGCTGCAAAGTAGTACTGTAGCTCACTAATTGAAAATATACAGGAATGGGAAATGTATACACAAAGCTCCGGCTATTTTCCTTCCAGCTTTGTTTGTCTTCTCGAGGTGATTCATACCTCTTGCAAAAACAGTGAATGTCAACACGCTGTTGAGTCCTAGCCATAGTGAAGTCCAATCTTATCCTACCCTGACTTTCACACATGCACATTTTCCGGCCAGGTGGAGTAATGGATGGAGAATCATTCGTCAAATATTTTCCTTTCTTTGATCGACAATCCCAATTGGGGTATCACCCCACTGAAATTTATCTCCTGGACCTTTCATGAACAAGATCAAGTGCTTCAATTCCCTGAAAAGGTCATAAAACCTCTGCGTTTTTGGTTTCTTTGATATATAATAGAAGCACGCTTGTTCTTCCTCCAAGGGTTAATCACAACGCCAATAAACCTGCCTTTCATTTCCTGCATGCAGATTCCTTGTAAAGTCTCTTAGAAACACATTGCATACAAAAAGAAAGATTGTATATTGGATCAAGGCTGTTGAATTTTATTACTATCATAAAACAACCCTGATTCTTTATCTAACTTTTTATTGGCACAACATTATCCCTATTGAACTGAATTCCTCGCCCCTTGTCAACCTTCAAAGAACACGGAATAATTTGTGTATCGAAATAATAAAAAAACGAATGAGTTCATTCATTTCCACATCATTCCAAAAATATGTATACAGAAGTAATGTTCTGTTTTATAACATTCTGATTCAGAAACTCATATAGAAAAGCCAAAAAGAATACGACAGGCCCTAAATCAATGTTGGTTGATTTTAAGCCAGGTGGCTGCAAGGTTTCAAGCTCCAGTGAGGTCCAGTTCAGTATCACCTCTTATGTCCACAATGGTTTACAATCCTGCTGATATCTATTGAACTACTGAACTTAATTCTTTTTCGATTTAGCCAGGTTTCTGACGCATGCGGAAACCCAACATTCTTAACGCGGTGAGAGCCATATAACATAAATTGGTCATTCACTTCATGGCTATTTGTGGGACGTTTCGCCCACAAAATATAGTCAAGTTACTTTACAGTATATTCTGTGAAGCACTTTGAAACATTTTGAAGATGTGATCTATCGTCTATATATAGCTATATCAAATGCAAGGATTATTATTATTATATTGCTGTGTGCATATTGGCTGCCGCATTCACTGACAAAAACAGTCACTACTCTTTCCAGTACTGTATTTCCTGTAAATTGCTTTGGGACCTCCATTTGGACGTGAAAGGTGATATATCAAATGTAAAGATTATTACTATTAAAAACAGAAGTTATCAATATCTATCCAGTTTCAATATTCCTGAAGGTTTTCCTCGATAAGTTCCCATTGACAAAAACAACAACAAAATTACATTTGTAAAGCATCTTTCATGTTGGAAGGATGTCCCAAGGCGCTGGTCAGACAGAGTTTTGGATCCGAGCTGGGGGTTGGGATGGGGGAGGGTGGAGGGCAGGGGGAGAAGCAGGGAGATCGAAAGCACGGTCGAAGAGGAGGGTTGAAGAGGAGGGTGTTGAAAGTGGCAAGGGAGGGGGCAAGGCGGAGGAACTGCGAGATAGAGTTCCAGAGGGTGGGAGCAGAGTGGCAGAAGGCAATAGTGGAGCGAGCGAGGCTGGGGACGAGAAGCAGCCTGGAGCCCGCTGAGCGGAGGAGCGAGCAGGATGGGAGGGGGTTAGGAGGTCGCAGAGGTAGGGGGAGCAAGATGGAGAGCTTTGAAGGTGATGACCAGGATCTTGAACTGTATCCTCTGTGTGATGGGAAGCCAGTGGAGTTGGGCGAGGATGGGGTGATAGGGTCATGGAGCCTGGTGTGGGAGAGGACATGGGCTGCAGAGTTCTGGATGATCTGCAGCCTATGGAGGGAGGAGTTGGGGAGGCCGACATCCAATGAATTTGCATGGTCAAACCTCATTATAATGAAAGCATGTACGAGGGTTTCGGCGACCTGAGGTGTGAGACAGTGTCTGAGCCGGGCGACGTTGCGAAGGTGGGGACGACAGAGCGAGTCATGGAGCAGATGAGGGGTAGAAAGGATAGTTGAGGGTCAAACAAGACCCTAAGGTTCCGGACTAGCTTGGCAAGGTGGAGTGTGTAACCATGGATGGTGATGCTGTCAGCAACTGCATCACAACTCTTTCTTTTACAAAAAAATATAAGAGCGTGAAAATGTGGTGTTCCACAACAGATCTGACATGATCCTCACATTGCATCTGTTATGAATCATCACACTCTTGACCCTTATATGTGAAATCGGATAAAAGAAAATTAAAGTGCTTTGGTAACAGAAGAGAAAATCTTTCAGATGATGCCAACTGGAAAATAATGCAACTGTGCTTTACTTCAATCAGCCTACAACAGAACTTGAATAACTAATTCTATGTGGGCTAAGTAAATGGTGATAGTGATGGATTGCATGTCAGAATAAATGCAAGAAAGAAAACAAGTCAGTCATGTAATTTTTCCATTGTTTTCTTGGAAACGTGACTGTGGGGTGAAAATTGCGATGTGGGATTTGCTAATTAGTATCACAATGCCAATGAATATGAGGAGCAACATCATGATAATTAGCACATTGTCTGGTCCACTGGGTGTCCTGCAGATGAAACAGTCCACATCCTTTTCAACGCTTGCGACAGGATGTCAGTCAAAGTACCATCCTGGACTTCCATTGGTCCGTCAGTCAGCGGAACATTATCTTAACTCTGATTTCTGTTTCCCTATAGTTAAGCCATAAATCCCACTCAATCAAGGCAATATTTACATCAAAGAAAAGGGTCTGGCTGAGTTTGGGCCCAGGATTTCAGATCCAAACATATGGTAATAATAAACTCAGGCAAGACTTTGTCACTATATTAACATTGAAATGTGTAGGTTACAGCGCCATGATTACGAGTCTGTGTAGTTTTATGTTTAATTGGTAAATATAGCTCTCTTATTTGAAGATAGGTCCAATGACTAAGGGATTAAAAGCATAGCCTATCATTCAATTTTGAAAGATATACTGTGCACAAGTTTCCTAATGTTCAATTACACTACATGACTATTCTCACATACTTTTTTTTAAGTAATCAGGTGTCTCTTGAGGATGCAATCCAGTTTAACATCACACGCCAGTAAAATAAAGAATTAGCATTTTTATTGTGCCTTCTCACATCGAAATTCCCCAATAAGTGCTACACAAGTAATCTCTGTCAAGTGTAGTGACTTAGACAATGCAAGCATTTGCCCCAGCAGTATCCCACAAGCAGCCTTGAGGAGAAAGACTAATTCTTTTGGACGAATGTTAAGCAAGACACTGGGACCTAAAGAGCAGACAAGATATCATCTTAGCATCTCATCCAAAAGATGGCACTGCTGACAATCCACAATTGTAATGGAAGTGTCAGCCTAGACTATGAGTCCAGTTCAAGATCAATGTGGGCTTTGTACCCAGGACCTACTGACCCAGAAACAAGACTTTAGCCAACTGAACCAATCTGACATTGTCAAGCTGTTCTCCACTGAGCTTTGCCCTCGTTTTACCATTCAGGATTATTTTGAAATGAAATGCGATTAATTATTTTAATACGAAAACTAAAGTCCTTGTTCTTTGAGGACTTTTTTTTATCCTGACTCAACCAAAATTCCACCCCGAGGGTCATTCAATCATCCCTGTCATTTGGTGATGAATTGCTGTTCTATTTTACTTCTTTTCCCCACTGTTTCAGCCATTTTTGTAAAGCATATGTGTCTAAAAATGTCTTTAAGGCAATAACTCTAAATATTTGTGATTAATGATAGCTATGATAAAAATTGATTGGTAAAATGAACATTCCTCACAGTGCTCTGAGGTTGTGTGATACACAAAGGACATAACATAGGGGCTTCTTTTCACAATAGCGATGGTAAGCATAGGGGCTGGAAGAAACTGGATGTCTCCTTGCATCAAATCAGGAAACATGTACTCCCTGCCAAACTAAGGGTGTAGAGCTCACATCTTATTTAGACCTTCTTCCAAAGGATTTATCCCGAGTTCTGTAACTTGACTCTTAGTGTT